TTCATTGGAGGACAAAAGCTAAAGCAAACCACAGACATGCAGTCCCCATCAGCACCCTCTGGTCTCATTCTTACCCCTGTTGGTCCTGATCACTGCTTCATCCAGTCTGGTAACAATGTTGTCGTTTACACCAGAGAGATGAAACACACAGTCGTACCTCCACCAGTCTTCACGTGTGACTGATGAAAGGTCCAGGTCAACACTCATCTGGAAGGTGCCATCATGGTTGGGGAGAATCTCTCCATGTTCCACATCTTCATGAATCTCCTCTCCATCTTTCCTCCAGAACATCATGGCTCTGTCAGGGAAGAAACCTGTAGCGTGGCAGCTGACTGGAGAGGAAGGCGTCTTCTGGAGGAGAAACACTGAGGGCTCTGAGGAGACAGAGAGACAATGGAGGGAGAGGGAGCGAGAGATGGAGAGGGGATAGAGAAAGATGAGAAAGGGAAAATACAGCTAAGGTTGATGTGAATGTCATTAGTTTTGCAGGTATTTGATCATAAACCAAAATATTGAATAAACAGCTTTTTGAACACAATGATGGTCTTATCTTTCTCTCTGTCCCTCCTCTCCAGCCACATTCCCCATTACAACGTTCCTTAATTGCATTTTTCAATTCATCCACCTCATGGCCTCAGACTGTCCCTCCTTTTTACAATTTCCTTATCAGCGATTAATCAGCCCTTTGGCATTCACTCCCTGGCAGGTTGGCAAAGCTTTTTTACCTTTGCTTTATTTTACCTTTTGCGTTATCTATGATGTGAAACCTGAATCTGGAACTTGTAAACTTCCTGCCTGCCTGACCCTCTGCCTGACTTTGTATTTCTTGCCTGTACCTTTGGAGTTGTTTGCCTGTTTCGACTACCTCTCTAGTTCTGACCCTTGTCTGCCTAATGATTCCTGTCCCTGTCAGTACGCTTAAATATAAATTGTCACACAATCATTGAACTGTCCCTGTATGACTCAACTGTGTGCATCAAAATTGTCCACCAACTTTTTTTTTTCAGAGGAATATGCCACATGCCCATACACCCATCTTATGAGCTATAAGAACATATGACAGTGCTGCATAACAACCAACAACCCATTGGCTACACAACCTCCTCATTGTCTGTATATAGACAGAGAAGGGAACTACACTACCATTAAAGAAACACACTACAATCAGTGACAGAATCTGAGAAGGTCATGTCAGTGGAGTAATAAAACAATACCGACTGTAATAACATGGTTATGTACATGAAATTACATCAGGTCATGTGACTCTACCTGTTGTCAGCAGAGAGCTGTTGATGTAGGACAAATACCTCTTCAGCCACTCAGGCAAAATCTTCATGAGGTAGTCTTCAATGCTTTGAATTCTAGTTTTGTCAGCGTCCCATCTCATTTTGATGTTGTAAACCTGTGGTTTTGGAGTGACCCACGTCAGTGTCTTCAGGTCGAATGATATTAAGTCTTCTCCATCATAACCAAACTGATAAAATCCAGTAACCTCTCCTGTCTCATCATCCCATTCACAACCAGTATTCGTCTGGAGAATGTGGACACCTGAGAGACAGAGACAGAGTCTGCAGTTAGCAATGATGCACTGATGATGCATAGCTCCAGTGGAAAGATGATCTCAGAAATACTCAACATTGTGTGATGCACAGCTATTCTCCCAGTCTTGTGGTGTGCTCATGATTCAAGTGCGGATAATCAGCACTTTTTCTTCATATGAGTGATGAAAACTAAATTCCATTCTACGACAGCTATAGTGATGTTCTGTAAATAACTGACAATGACAGTAAACCAAGTGGTTATGTCTTCTTGCAATCTGGTTACACTAAACTGTTTTATGTACAAAATCACAGGGTTTAAGTTAAGATGCCGACCATGACATATAATATCCCTGGTTGGAGTCCAGCTGGGGACCTTATTGCTCTCCCTTATTGTCTGTCATCTTTTAACCACGGCTATCTCAACCTTCACCCTTGTGCAGGTTGGTATGACCAGCATGAAATAACTCCAAATAATTAATCTGATATATATTCCAAATTAAATATTGGATTGTATTAATTACAACTTGGCTTTTGCACAGCCATGTTCAGGCACTGGAAACAACAGTTTTGAGCAGTTTAAGACTTGGTCAGTGTCCTCTAGCCTTAAGAGTTACAAAACATTTAACAAATGCTGCAGTGTTTGCAATTTTGTTTTTGCATTACAATATTCACGCATTGAAATATACTGTTTTATACTTTAATTGTGACTATTAAAAATAAACCCATTAACCCCAAAAGGACATATTTCTTTTTCCAAAACTACTTACTGCTCAGACACAATGCTTTGTTTTAAAGAAAAATCTAATTGGGTCCTGCTAATCCAAAATAGCTAGAAGAAATAAAAAAATGCATACTAAGGAAAAGCTTGTGTATCAGGAGGTTAAGTATTCTGCAGCAATACCAAAGGTTAGATGAAAAGTGGGAAGTGAGGATTCTTGAACTAACACCTGTACAGATGAACATGGGGTATTGATAGTTTCTTGAGGCTCTCCGGAGTGTCAGGATACAATAGGGCCGGGCAATATAGGAAAAAATCAAACATCACAATATTTTGACCAAATACCTTGATATAAATATTGTGATGAGACTGTAGGGGTTGACAGCTGTTGCTTTCAGAAAATATATACACCACTAACAATATAACAACTAATTGAATGTTAGAAGAGTGTGTTAAGTTCAGAAAGTTACATCACTTTATTGTAATGCAGCCTTTAAAACCAGGAGAAGACAACACATCCAAAATCAAAGACGATATCTACTTACATATCATGACATCAATGTAATTTCCAAACAGTCCTAACAAGTGAAAAACAGAACAGCAAATATTTTACCTCCACTTTGGTTGAAGCACTGTTTCAACTCATGTATCATGGCTTTGAAGAAGTTGGGGTTATAACACTGTTGGGTGTGCCACTCCAAGTGATCAGGATTGTCTTCATAGGCTTTTTTCATCCAGTCCTGTTTTGGTTCCACTTTCTGTTTGATGCTGTCGCAGTTAACCGCCACAATGCCATCAACCACTGCAACACCAACTAACATGAAGTCTTGCTCTCTAGAAGATGCACTAGTAATGGCATACCTCAGGGTGTGTTTCACTGCAGGACAAACAAGGTTTATACACACATTATAAATATACACACATTGTCAACACGCACATCATATATTAGTAGGATTCAATTAACACATACAATCTTATGGAGTTGAGGTGAAAAAAAAAATCCCTTGTGTCGTTGAGCTACACAGGAGCAAAATGCAGAGCAAGTGGAAAGTTAAAGATTTCAAATATGATCTTACCTGCTGATGAAAAGTGACAGAGAAAAAGCATCAAAAATAACTTTTTCATCTTGTCTTAATAGAGCTGGTTCAGCTGCTTGGTCTTCTGTCCAGTGTTGTTTACTCTGTTACTTATCTGCGTCAACTGAATTCTAGACTGTACCAAAGTTAGAGGGGATTTCCAGAGAGCAAAGAGTGAAAGAGAAAGTGTG